TTTTTCCATTTGGCCCTTGCTTCTTCTCTTCCAATTTCATTACAAATTTTGATAAGACATCAATAACATCAATTGATAAGAGAAGAATTTGAATTGAAAGCAAATTAGTTCAAGATTTGGGTTTAGGGTTTAAGTTTAAGGTTTTTTTTTTTTTTTTTTGCTTTCTTCCCATTGAATATGTTTTTTCACGTAAAAATTTTCTTGTGTTTCCTTGTACGTGAATTAGACGTTATTTGCAAAACATTTACTCAAGGTTTTGCTTCTTATAAATTTATTCAAGTAGAAAGTATTGTGTTATTGTATTTTTTCTTTTTAGTTTCTTAATATTGTATTATTTTCTTTGCTCAAGGTTTGATGGTTTTTTAAAAGTTTTCACTAGTTGATTGGTAAACAATGGCAGAGCTACGGAGGCTCCCCAAGCAAAAATAATGTGTCCACCACTGCTTTTTAGATACTATAAAATAACACCTTGATTTCCTTCATAAATCTGGAATGGAGTAAAAAGTCGAATTACCAACTTTTATACGAATTTTCAAGTGGATGAGATCGGGAGAGTGGTCTCAGTTGGAGATGGGATTTCATGTGTTTATAAACTCCAGCTAGAATGAGAGAGAAATATGATAATTTTACTCAGCAGAAAATGGTAAATTAAATTAATCAAAAAGAATTTTTATTCTTTAGAATATGTTGGAATACATAAAACAAATATCAATTTGTTTGGAGAGACATAAATATTAGTTTTTGAGTGAAGTGCAGTGAGGAGAAAAGCCTTCTTGCTAATTATTAAACTCCAGGAATATTAAGTTTAGTGCAGAAACAAGCTCTAGAAATAGTTTCGCAGACTGGCTTGCCGTGGCCCTCACACATATCCTTGCAATCTGAATCTTGCGTACAAGCTTGTGCTTCTGCTACCCATGGCAAACCTACATCAGTGTAATTAAATTGTTTATTTCCGTTCCTTAATGAATATTAATGTTTATGTACCAAAATAATACTCTAGATATTCTATTTTCAATAGACNTTCCATTGTTGATAAGCAACGCAGCAAGTATGAAGAATAATTGTATGAAAATACTATAAAAGATACAAATATAACCTAAGTTAGTTGAAACAAAAAATTGCTTTTGACCCTTTCTCGGATTGTAAATCTGGGTTCCCTTAATGATCACTGTATGAGCAGACAAGTTCACCTCCCAAGCAAGAGTTGCAGTGGAAACCAACACCTGCACATGTCCATCACCAAAAAGATCCTCAACAAATTCACGGTCACCCCTTGTCATCCCAGCGTGATGAACTGCAAAACCATAAGGTAAAAGGTCTTTAATATCATTGCTTTTGACAATATCTGTGTGACTTTGGAGAATCCCACGGCTGACCCTTTCCTCCAAGAAGCTACCAAGGGTATCATTCTCAAGTGCGGCATCTCATATTGCACAAGCTCTTTTTGCTGTTTCCTTCGTGGAGTGGACGAAAATAAGAACTTGATGCTTTCCATCAACTGCCATAACCTTTTCATAACACTAATGATTCATCAACGGGAACCTTTGCAGCGGGTTCTCGACTGCGATCCCAATATACCGTTAAGAAAGAGGGACAGGTCTATAACTATTGTTGAAGTGGAACAACCCTTTTCCCAAATCCACTCGTAAAAATAAAGCCAAATCTTCATAATTGGGGAGTGCAGTCGACAACCCTATAGGAGATCCCAATTAGGCACGCTCAAGCCAATATGTTTATAAGAGTGGGCAATCCTCCCACTAAATAATGTCTTTTGGGTGAGGAGTTAGGCCCAACTCCAACAAGTGGTATCAGAGTCAACCCTTTTTGAGCTGAGTGATTGACCAGTGGTGGGCTGCCGAACTACCTCCATTCATAGGCAAGTGGATCATATGGGCTTGATCGTGAGAGGGAGTATTGGCTTAATCGTGAGAGGGAGTATTGGAGATCCCATATCGACTAGGCACGCTCAAGCCAATAGGTTTATAAGAGTGGACAATCATCTCACTCGATAAGGTCTTTTGGGTGAGAAGTTAGGCCTAACTCCAACAAACCCAACCAACCGAATATGCTCTTTTGTGGTTTCAATTTGCCTAACAGTCTTGGCAACAATACTTTCAAGCGCAGGCCCTCCATTATCATGAAGTAAATGAATTTCATCAATGATGAGCAGTTTCACAAGCTGCGTGTAGGTTCGATCCGCTGATTTTCTGGTAACGATATCCCACTTCTCAAGAGTGGTCACAATTATTTGTGTTTCTTCAATTTGTTGGCGCGTGAGTTTCTGGTCTCCGCTTAGCTCCCTCACCTTGACATCATATACCTGCAAACGATTAGAAAGATTACCGACAGCTTCAACAAGAGCATTCATCAGTGCCACATAGACAATCTTATAGTTGCTATGGTTGAACGAACCATCTGGGTTCCGACTCAATGCCAACTACTGAAGTATGGTATGCACAACAATAGTAGTTTTCTCAGCCCCAGTAGGAGCACACAATAGTATATTATCTACTGAAAAAAGACAGTCTCATACACTCTACTCTGCACCCTATTCAACTGTGTCATCAACATATAGTGATATAAGACATAAAGTGACACAATAAGTTCTGCTCCATTTTCTTGCTTAAAGACATAAAGTGTTGCATCATTTTGGCTCCTCTTGAAGTGTTTCTGGTCAAATAGGAATCAATCCAATTGTACTAGGCTCGTGGTGCTTGCTTCAACCCGTACAAAGCTTTAGTAAGCTTGTAAACTTTTTCTTCTTGCCCGGCTACCTCGAACCCCTCTGGCTACTCAACAAAAATTTCTTCCTCAAGATAGCCATTTAGGAAGGCTGACTTCATATCTAGCTGATGAATTAACCACCCTTTCATAGCAGCTAATGCAATAAGAAGCCTTATCGTATCCAACCTTACAACATGTGCAAAGGTTTTTGAAAAATCAATACCTTCCTTCTGTGCATAACCCTTCACCACTAATCTGGCCTTGTATTTGTTCACAGAGCCATCCGGGTTCTTCTTTATTTTGAAGACCCACTTGACACCAATTGGCTTTTTGTGGACTGGCCTATCCACTAGCTCCCATGTGCCATTTTGCTCAATCATCCTCATCTCCTCTAACATGGCTTGCTGCCATTCTTTGTCTTGAGCTGTATCTTCAAAGGTGGTACGCACTTCAAACATCACTAAACTTCTCTCATAAATTTCAACAATTGATCTGTACCTTAGAGGAGGAGGATCTTCATTTTCCTGGTCGAAATCATTCGGTGTATCTAGCCCATGTTCTCCTGGTTCTTCATCAACTTCAGATTCATGAGCTGGCCATAGTTCTTCCAGCCAATAGTTACATGGTTCCTGTTTTGCTGAACCTTGTTTATCCCAAGACCATGCTTCATCTTTAGCTACAATCACATCCCGACTCACAATTAATTTGTTTTCCTGAGGATTGTGTACCTGGTAAGCTTGACTATGATCACTGTAACCAACAAGTATACCATTCTCTTCCTTCTGACTTAGTTTATCTCTCTTCTCATCTAGAATGTGATAATAGCACACAGAACCAAATACCTTCAGATCTTGGACTGAAGCCTTTTCATCATGCCATGCTTCATATGGTGTCTTCCCCTTGATAGCTACTATTGACATCCTATTTTGTAGGAAAATTGTCGTGTTCATTGCCTTTGCCCAATAAGACTTTGGCATATTCTTTTCTAGCAACATACATCAGGCCATCTCCATGATAGTCCGATTCTTGCTCTCAGCCACCCCGTTTTGCTGCAGAGTGTATGGCACTGTGAGCTAATGCTCTATCCCAAATTCGTCATAGAACTTGTTGAACTCAAAATTGATATATTCCCGACCATTATCTAAACGAATCTTCTTCCAAGTGCACCCAGTCTGAGTTTCAGCCAATGCCTTGAACTTCTTGAAGACTTCGAACACTTCATTCTTCCGGCTTAGAAAGTATACCTAGCACATCCTAGAATAGTAATCAATAAACAAAATAAAATAGCGATTATTATTCAAGGACGTTGTTCATGGGTCCACACAAATCAAAGTGCACAAGCCCAAGCTTTTCACTTGCTCTCCAAGCTTTGTTCTTAGGAAACGACTTCTGCTTCATCTTTCCAAGCTGATAAGGTTCACAAATGCTTTTTCTGGTCATATTACTTGGCCTTTCATAAGACAATTGGTTAGCATTGAGCTCCTCAATAAACGATTCATCCATAGAATTTTCCTTGGCCAATGTTTCTAGCTCATCAATCACTCCACTAGCCTTCAACACTGGCAGACCTAACACCAATTTTTCTTCGCTCATATGATGTAATTTCTTCATGTCACAATGCCTAAAACGCTTATGCCACAATTTAGCAAGGTCTACTCTACCAGAATGCAGTTTCTCGGGCCAAATTTGATGACAAAGGAAAACTATTGTTTACCTCGACAGCTTTAACGAGCACCCTTTCCATTGGATCAAGAATGGTACAAGATTTATCTTTGAAAATCAGTATATACCCATTCCTCATCATCTATGAAACACTTAATAGATTTTGATCAATCCCTGGCACATACAGTACGTTCCTGATCACCCTCTTTCCTTGGTCAGTTTGAACAACTATGGTCCCCTGCCTTCTGCTTGCAGTTCTTCACCACTCCCAATGGTGATGAGAGGTCTATCCATGGTATCCAAATCGTCAAACAATGTTGAATCAAAAGTCATATGACTCGTACATCAGATGTCTATTAACTTTTCTACAGAGAGTTCAATGAAGAAGAATTTCATTTAAGATCTGGAAAAATTACAAATGAATGGAGTACACTTTACTTAAGTACTAACTCAGCTCAACTAATTATGGTTAACCGTAACAAACTATTACACCAGTAAACTGACACAACAACTTTAACCAATTCTACAAATTAGTATGCTAAGCTGGAAGTCAAACTGATGTGCTAGACTGGAGCTGATTGGAGCTTAAACTGATATATCTTCAAGACCCCCCCTCAAGGTGGTGAGTGATAAAGATTAAGCACTCCCATCTTGGAAAGGAAATGATAATGTAAATGACTGCCAAGAGATTTAGTAAGGATATCAGCCCTTTGCTCATTACTAGGAACATATTTAGTCTGAATAAGACCAGCTTGTATCTTCTCACAAACAATATGACAATCAATGTCAATAGGCTTGGTACGTTCATGAAACATGGGATTAGAGGCTATATGCAAGGCTGTTTGGTTATCGCAAAAAAGAAGGATAGGAGCTGAACTAGGAAAACCAAGATCATAAAATAATTGCTAGAGCCAAACAATTTCACATACAGCAGAAGCCATGGCCCTGTATTCTGCCTCTAAAGAAGACCTTGAGACTGTAGCTTGCTTCTTAGAAGCCATGGCCCTGTATTTTGCCTCTAAAGAAGACCTTGAGACTGTAGCTTGCTTCTTAGACTTCCAAGACAAAAGAGACTTCCCAAAAATACACAAAAACCAGTAATTGATCGCCGAGTAATCAAACAGGAGGCCCAATCTGAATCACAGTAAGCATTAAGCTGAACTGTGTTATCAGATGGGAAAAATAACCCCAAACCATGAGCATGTTTAATATACTTAACAATCTTCAAGGCAGCCTGCATATGAGACACATTAGGAGCATGCATGAATTGGCTTAATAAACTAACTGAATAGCTCAAATATGGACGTGTCATACACAAGTAAAGAAGCTTTCCAATGAGTTGTTGAAAAATGGTAGCATCAGGCAGTAGAGGATCCCCGGAAATAGAAAACTGTTTGTCATAACCTAATGAAGTAAATTTTTTATGCTGATCAAGAGGAATAAAAGAAGGCCTAGCTCCAGATAAACCAGTAGTGGAAATTAATTCTAAAGCATACTTTCTTTGCCAACAGTGATGCCCTTAGCTGATCTTGCTACCTGTAAACCAAGGAAGTATCTTAATGGACCTAAATCTTTAAGCTTGAAATGAGAATGAAGCAATTTCTTGGTATGAGCTATTAACTCTGAACTACTGCCCGTGATTACTATATCATCTACATAGACTAAAACTACCACCATTTGAGTATCATGCTTCTTAACAAATAAAGAATAATTAGACTTAGATTGAGAGAAACCTCCTTGAACTAAGGCTGTAGTAAGCTTAAAATTCTAGGCGCTCGAAGCCTGTTTTAAGCCATATAATGACTTGTTCAGTTTGCAGACAATGTTTGGGGCAGTAGGCTTATGAAATCCTTGAGGCAAAGTCATATAAATGTCCTTAGTTAAATCCCCTTGTAAGAAAGCATTATATGCACCAAGATAATACAATGGCCAATCATAGATGGAAGCAAGAGATAAAATAGTTCTCACTGTTACCATTTTCACAACAAGGGAAAATATTTCCTCATAATCAATCCCTGCTTGTTGTATATAACTCTTGGCTACTAATCTAGCCTTATACCTCTCTAAGGTTCCATCAGCATTATATTTCAATTTGTACACCCACTTACATCCAATTGGATGCCTATCAAGAGGCAAAGGAACCAAGGACCAAGTGTGATTGTCTTCTAAGGCTTTGATCTCCTTGTACATAGCTTCAATCCAATTAGGATCTTTGGAAGCTTGAAAAAAACTAGTAGGTTCAGTCAAAGTGGACATTTTGCTAAGATAAACTTGTTATTGAGTTGAAAGATGGTCATAGGAAAGGCAATCCGAAATTGGATACTTGACTAGATGAGTTTGTGAGGAAGAGGGAAGTGTAGGACAGTGAAAATTTGTAGTCCAAATGGGTGGTTTAGAGATTCTTTGTGATTTTCTTAAAGATACAGGAGGAGGTGCTTCTAGGTTGGCAGAATCAGGTGCAGGATTAAGGCTGGTTGGTGTAGTAGAGGAGTCTACTATAGGTGCTAAACTAGAGGGCACATCTGGTTCTATGATTGGAGTAGAGAACTGTCCAGATTACGGATAGGGTTCAAATGAGTCAGTTTCTAAGAAAGTGTCTGAGGGAAAAACAGTCTTACTAGTAGTGGGTAATTTGAATGGAAAGACATGCTCATAAAAGACAACATCTCTAGTAACCTAAATAGCACGTGTATCCAAATTGTACAGTAAATAACCTTTCTTTTCTAAAGAATATCCTACAAACACACATGGGGTGGATCTTGGAGAAAATTTATCCTTAGGAGGAAGAATTGTAGAATAAGCAAAACAACCAAATACTTTCAAGTGTGCTAATAAAGGAGAATTGCCAAAAAAAAATTCAAAAGGAGAAAGACCTTGCAACACTATGGTGGGAAATCTATTAATCAAATAAATGGTTGTTTTAACACAATGACCCCAAAGTGAATGTGGTAAATTGGATTGGAACTTCAATGCCCTGGCCACTTGTAAGATATGTCTATGCTTTCTTTCGATGCTTTCTTTCCACAACACCATTTTGTTGTGGAGAGTAAGCACAAGAGCTTTGATGGTGAATACCTAACTTTTGCAACAACTCTTGGCAATTTTTATTGAAAAACTCTAACCCATTATCTGATCTAAGACATTTGGGAGTCACAAGATATTGATTTTGGACCATAGTTAAAAACTGTTCGAACACTTGAAAAACATCAGATTTGAATTGCATTAAAAATAGCCAAGTAATCCTTGTGCAATCATCCACAATTGTGAAAAAATATCTAGCATTGCCAAAAGTAGGTATTTTATAAGGTCCTCATACATCCAAATGTAAAAGATCAAAAGCATTGTTTGAAATGTTTTTGCTTAATGGAAAAGGAATTCGAGTTTGTTTTGCTAATGGACAAACTGTACAATGAAAAGAATCATCAACTGGTAAGGTTTTCAACATTTGTTTAAAAACTAAATTTGGTACATGTCTCAACCTTTGATGCCAAACATGGAAATCTGTAAATGAATTAAGAGAAACATTTTGTGAAGTAAAACTGGAAACATTATTCATTACTGAATTACAAACATTATTAGTAGAAATCATTTTGGCCAGTGTAGGAATGTCAAAATTTTGTAGAATGGATTGTGTACAAGGAGCATGGAAATACAGGCCTTGGCTTTGTCTACCAATCCCTTTCAACTTGCCACTCCAGAGGTCCTAGATTAAGCAAAAATCAAGGTAGAATGTAACAGCACAGTTATTAGAGGCAGTGAATTTGGAAACTGAAAACAGGTTATGCTTGAAATCAAGCAAATGCAGAACATGATCCAAACTACTTCTTTCATCCAAACGAACAAAACTAGTGTGCCTAATCCTAGTTTTTGTACCATTAGGTAGGCCAACATAAATGTGTGGGCTAGAATCCATGTCGACAGGAGATTTCAACCTAGACAATCTACTGGTCATGTGGTATGTTGCCCTTGAGTCTATTATCCAATTTTCAGTGTCATTGTAACAAGAAAGAAGAGAAGTGGATGTGGATGTGGCAATACTTGCTACATTTGCTGAGGCTGACACATTTTTTTTGCTAAGCAGTTGAAGAAGCTATGAATATTGCTTAGCTAAGAGGATTGTTCCAAGTGAATCCTTCTCAGAATCAATAGAGACAGTAGGCGCTTGGACAATAGACTATGATTGTGCTTGATTAGCAGATGATTTCCCTTGGATCTGTTCATCTTTCCTTTAAAGTCAGCTAGATACCCATGTATTTTATAACAGGTGTCTCATTTGTGACCTGGCAAATGACATAAGTCACATTCAGTATAGGGTTTTTTGCCTTTGTACTTAGAATTCTTCTGTGTATGTTGTGCATATAAAGCAGTTGTCACATCTAATCCAGTATTAGCTCCCACCAAAAACCTCTGACTCTCATATTGATTGACAATCGAGTAAGCTTGTTTAACTAAAGGTAATGGAGACATAAAAAGTATCTGACTCCTTACCATTGAATATGTATCATTAAGCCCCATTAAGAACTACAACAGCCTTTGTTGTTTTAAGTGTTCTAGGTATGCCTTGGCTGATTCACTGTCCGGTGGTGGTAAACTGATCATAGAACTCAGCTCATCCCATAATGCCTTCAACTTATTATAATAAATCGCCACTGACATAGTGCCCTGTGTGTGATTGCCAATCTCCCGGTGAATTCCATGAATCCTAGTTCCACTCACCTTGTGGTATTGCTCCTGCAAATCCAGCCATACTTGATGTACACTGGTGGAATACACAATTCCATTGAAGATTTCTTTCGAAACTGTGTTAAAAAGCCAAGCTAAGACAAGAGAATTACATCTCTCCCATTATACACCTAAAATCGAATCTGATGGCTTCTTGCATGTTCCATCTACCTAATTTGTTCTTGGCTTGTAGTGAAACTGTCATAGCCCTACTCCAAATACCATAATTTTCTGTACCTATGAGTTGCTTTGTCACTAGCATTGTACCAGGTGTGTCTGAAGAGTGTATGTATAGTGGGGAATTTGGATCTATAAGAAAACTAGTATTTGTCATTTTGAAGGAAAGAACCTCTGCAACTCACAATTTTAAGCTTTGGAAGAAACAAGAGGAAGATTCCAATTTGTAATTGACAGTCAATTTGAAACAAACAAAACTTGCCGTAAAACAAATCCAACAAATTTTGACTTGAAAAGAAGCTATTTTCGACTTAGATTTCAACTTAATTCCAGCTGATAGGAGCTAATTTCCAGCTTACTAACCTGGAGCATTTGAATCAAAACAAGGTCGACCAAGATTGATGAACAAATTCAACCATCTTCTTCCTCTGATTTGAAGATCGAGACCTAGAGCTCTGATACCATAATAACTTTTCTACAAAGAGTTCAATGAAGAAGAATTTCATTCAAGATCTGGAAAAATTACAAATGAATGGAGTACACTTTAATTAGGTACTAACTATGGTTAACCGTAACAAACTATTACACCAATAAACTAACACAACAACTTTAACCAATTCTACAAATTAGTATGTTAAGCTGGAAGTCAAACTGATGTGCTTGATTGGAGCTGACTAGAGCTTAAACTGATATATCTTCAATACTATCTATAAGCCAATCTGACTTATCTTGTCTTCTACCTATGACCATGAACATGTTCTCTCCAAGTTCCTCCTCGGCCACATTAGCTTCCTCGACATCCAGCTATGTATCTAACTGATTGACCATCGGCTTATTACAACTTTTGGCCTTGTGACCGTGTCCCTTGCACTTAAAACACTGAATCTTAGACTTGTTTTTCACCCAACAGTTCTTTTCAGCATGATTCGTCTTTCTACAGATAGGACAAGGAGGAAATTTACGTTTTCCCTCCTTCGTATCATCAGCATCCCATTTCTTTCGTTGCTTGGCCTGAAACGCACCCTCTGTGCTTCCCTCCATTCTTCCTACAGCCCTTTGCTCACTGGCTTGTAGAGAGCCAACAAGCTCATTGATGGTTAGAGTGTCTAAATCTTTGGATTCTTCAATAGCATCCACCTTCAAATCGAATATGGGAGGTAAACTTGCAAGTATTTTCAGCACTACTTGCTTCTTTGGATACTCCTTACCATGAATCTTCATCTGACTCAGAAGTTCTTGGACTTTGTTGACATATTCCTTCACACTATCAGTCTCCTGCATCCTTAACCTGTCAAACTCCCTTCTCAAAGTCACCAACTTGGCTGATTTCACCTTATCTAACCCTTCAAATTCAAGTTGAAGCACCTCCCAAACTGTTTTGGCTTCTTCCTTAATTAGAATTCTTGAGAATATGGCCTTGTTCACCCCGCTTTGGATAAAGGCAAGAGCTCTTGAATTTTCTTGAGATTTTTCCTTGTTCTCCTTCTTTTGTGCACTTGTGTACTCGACATCATCTTCCAATTCTTTGTAACCATCACAGACAATATCCCACAAGCCATTTGCCTTGAGCATAATCTTCATTCTTTTAGCCTAATGCGTGTAGTGTTTCCCGGAGAAAATCGGTGTAGCAAGCATTGATGGTCCAGATGTATTGGCCATGTCGTTGTTGTGACTTTTTGAATAGGTGGAAATTTTGTTTGAAAGTGTTTCAAGAACAAAAATACAATTGATTAAGGTCCCGAAAGAACACTTAAAGCTCTGATACCATGTTCAAGTTTTTCAGAGAATGATAGATGAAAAACTGATTTGTTCATTCATAACAAAAGAGCTCCATTATATAGGAGAAAACAAAACAAAAATACACTTTACGTCACCTAATCTGGCTATTATTTAGCTAACACTAGCAAGAAACAAAAAGATAAACATCCACTATCCTAAAAAATTGCAACACATGATTATCACTTATCCAGCTAATATGCAAATTAAAACTAACTATTATTGTGCATTGTCCACTTCACACAGTGTTTTGTTAGACGAAGTTAGAGCTTTCTTTTAAAACTCAAAGTCTCACTTCTTAACACTTTCCCATATCAGCAGTGCTAGTCTTACAAAGAAGCCTACAAAGGAGGCATACAAAGTTAACCTTCACCCTTCATCTTCATCATTTCTCTCTCTCTCTCTCTTTCTCTTTTTCCGTTTTTCCTTTGTTTTTTTCTTCACTTTGCAAGCTTCTTTGTAGAGTTCTTTGTAAGGATAGACTTATTCTTCCCATATAGTTTAGCATCAACACTTGCACCGACGCCGCTTCCACTTAACAAGAAAGCAAGAAAAGAGGTCATAAGGAAATAAAAGCAAAACGAAAAAACCACGTTAAATACCAAATTCCCATGAGTCAAAATGGTATCCCTTCGAAATAGTATATTTCATAAAAATTTCTATTTTGTTAGTAAACGGTCACAGAATCATTAAAATTTACAATTTTGTGAGTTGATGAAAATTTTTCTAATCATCCTATTATAATTTATTTTAACATATAAATCTTAATGGTAGGAGATTTTTGTTAATTTAATCTAACCTCATGGGGCAATTTTAACTAACCAACAATCTCTATAACCTAATATTTACTAAGAGTTTATTAATTGCTATCCCTAAGATTTGGTGTAAAACATTTGTAACGCATTAATGTTCATCCTCAAATGATGGTTCCATTAATTAAATCTAATGGTATAACTTATAAGCAATTAATCACTATTGGCTGATCAAGTAATTAATTAGAATTCTTAAATATATTATTCAATAGATCTTTAAGTTCGATTTACCTTGACCACTAATAAGGTGGTCTCCAGTTTAAAGAACATGTTAAATAAACGATTAATGGTTAAGTCGAATGACTAATTTTTTTACATTAAAAAATTCTAACAATTTAAAAAAAAAAAAATCAAGGTTTTATCTAAAATATTGTTTCCTTCCCTTGGACCATTACATTTAATTTAGAAAAACATCATTGAAAGGTGACGGCATTAGTTTGCCAAAATTGGGGAAAGTGTTATAAGCCAAACCTCCGGGGGTGGTACGTAATTAGCCCATAGGGCCACATGCCCGTATTTACCATCGTCGTTACAGAATTTGACCAGTATGAGGTTCATTAAAATATATATAGGTGGGTAAACACAATCAAGTTGGTAATTCAAGTACCCTGTCTCCAAACTGTTAATTTCTCAGTAACATTGACATTGATTAATAGAGAGATTGGAGTGACTACTGAGAAAACACGGAAAGATCCGAAAAGGAGTGAAGTGATTGAGGTTGGGTTGTTGGAGTTTAATCGAAGCAAAGGGGTGATTGCTTGCCAAATCTGGGCTTTTGAAAATGCCCTCTCAACGCTCACTGTTTCTGATTTGTATTTTATCTCTTTTATCACTCGCTCACTCCAAAACTCTCAAGAGAGATGGTACGTATGTGTCTAACACTCTACTCAACATTTTAAATCCTGGGTTTAGTTTGTTTATTTAAAGGATTCGTTTCACCTGCCTTTCATTTCTTTTAAATCGCTTTTGTTGTTACATTGTGGATAAACTGTTGTTTTTGTGAGATCTGGTCTGATTGATATAAGCTGATTTGTTGTTGATTTTTTAATTTTTGGGTTTGTAGTTAAAGCTTTAAATGAGATTAAAGCATCGCTTGGATGGAGAGTGGTGTATGCTTGGGTTGGAGATGATCCCTGCGGCGATGGCGATCTGCCACCGTGGTCTGGTGTCACTTGCTCCACTCAGGGAGATTACAGGGTTGTCACTGAGTTGTAAGTGCATGGCTTTGTTTCCTTTGAGTTAGTTTACTTACATAAGATTTCAGAGCGAGATGAATTCCTTTGTAGCAATACTGTGTACTTGCATTGAGATTACTGTGTTGAATTTAGTATACCAATGAAAGATAACAAGAATTGATATTGTGGAATGGTTTTTTGATAGATTGAAATGAGATTGTTTAAGAATTAAGATTGAAGAATTGACCTTCACCGTTATGGTTATTACTTTTTGCAGGGAAGTTTATGCAGTATCAATTGTTGGGCCTTTCCCAATTGCTGTTACCAATTTGTTGGAGTTAACAAGACTGTAAGTTTTTCCTATTCCATTTTGATTTGTTTAAGTTTTTTCTTCTGAATGAGCTCTGGAGTGTATCACGTTTACTCTATGTGTCTTTGAGGTGTGTTCACAATGTGGTTGTGAAATTCTTTATATTGTATTTGGAGATGTTCCGAAGAACCTGAATGGATTTAATTTCGAAATTGTTGCCTCCATCCCTGTTAAGCATAGGCAATGTTACATGCACATTTATTTCTGAACTGTATGGTTGTTTGTGACTGTTCCTGATCTGTTAGTCATGTAGAGAAGACCAGCTATTTTTGAGCAAATGAGCTTTATGTCCTGAGACAACTTGGCAGTGTTACACTTTTACTAATATCCCAATCTTTCTTTTTTACCTAAAGAAAAGATCCATTTATCTAGTGTTCTGTGTTATGCATGTATATGCTTTATCACATGTTTTAACATTGCTTCTTGTAGCTCTGGTATCTGGGAAATTGTTGCCTGAATTAACTAGATAATTAGTTAATTGGTGTGTGTTCTGTTCGTTATAATATTGTATCATGGCTAGGTATTCTGCTGTTAATTACATTTGCAAATGATGTTATCTGTAGCTAAGCATGTGGTTGTTGTTGATTCTCTTCAAGTTATAAGTAAATCCCATTTGAGTCATGTGAGAGTATTGTAACACTTGGAGAACTCCGTCTTAATGATTAATAGTCCTACTAAAATGAAAGATTTCCCTTTTTGACATGTGGAGTGAAAAGACTAAAGTGGAAATCCTTTTGAATATTTGGCTGATTATAATAGTTTTAGAGTTCCTTAGTTATTCATTTATTATTTCTAAAAATGATTTGATTGGCAGGGATCTCCACAACAACAAACTTACGGGGCCAATTCCTCCTCAAATTGGACGGCTGAAACGTCTGAGGATACTGTATGTTTCTTTATTCTTGTGTAAATTGCTAAGCATGTGGTTGTTGTTGGTTCTCTAACTTAATTACTTTCTATTATCAGTATTTTAAATGAACTCTTCCTAAGTCGTAATGTGCTGTTGATTTTTCCTAAATTTTTGTGTTTCTTCTTATCATTTGGTTGGGACATATGTTATGCTTTCATTACTTACAAATGGAATAATCATAACTGTGATGTTGAAAAATCCATTTTATTTTGGACCTGGATTTTGGATAAATACTGATAAGTAGAAACATTTGTAACTTCTTTTTACACATTTCTCTTTGCATGTTAAAGCGATGATTCCTTGATATTGCTGATTGTTGCATATAGACTTCTTGGAATGTGTTTATGTGGATTGAAGCTGATTATACAACTACAACAATTAGGAAATGACTTCCTTCTTAGACAAGTGAAACTGTGAAAGAAGAGAAAGAGAAAATATAGAAAAGAATATTACAGCGGACAGAAGTCTTCAAGATGCACAAATTTGTGGAATTTCATGATTTGTGTTCTAGAGTGAGTGCAACTACTTAAGATTATATAATTGGAAGAACTGATACCTCAAACCTGATGCAGAAATGCATGTTTGTACAGAAAGGAATCGTGNGATTGTTGTGTGTTCGTTAGTTTGCCTTTAAGGGAGCAAGGAGAGTCATTCAGCGTTAAGAAATTTTGGTGGTGTTGTGTGTCTTGGTTCTTCCTAGATTTGCTTCCATTCTCGTTTGGTTATTGGGAAAATGAGGAAAAATTATGTAAATTAGATAATATGAAACATTGATGGTTCATTATATGGTTCCTTAATTTCTAACTTTTTTAACTTTAGGTTTTTTGTAAATTTTCTTTGCATGTAGTTGCTTTCTGGAGAGTGAAAATACTCATAATATGATAATCTGACTACACTTTTGCTGATATGTTGAAAACTGATTTTTGAGTCTTTAAATTCTGTGTAGTTATGGACAGAGTTAACGATGATAACGTTTGGTTTTCAGATTGTTTTCAATTGAATCATTTACGAGTTTGGGATGGGGGTTATGGACAATTTGCTGCATATGGAGTCCGCAAGAGTGGTTTCATTGAGTAATGGTAGTCGTTCTGAGGAGAGATAAGGAATGTTGCCAATGGAAAATGGTCATTGTGCTTCTCCGAGTGGTTTACCCAAGTATAAGCGGCAGAGAGCTTCTGCTGTTCGGGATTTTCCTCCAGGTTGTGGACGGTTTGTCTTGCAGACACCCAATAGAGATACTGTTGTTGGTAGAGTTTGCCCTGAGGCAGATAATCTTGTGCACTCATCTAATCATTTGGAGAGGCCTGAATTGGTGAGTGTTGATCCTGAAGGAGCTTTGTTTCCAGAATCTGAAAATTTAAAACCGTTAGAATGCAAAATCTCTAGTGGGTCAAAGCATTTGAATGGGGCAGATATTTGTGCCTCAAAGAAAGAGATGTCCCTGGAAAGTGGTCTGAAGGCATTGTTGCCACCTAACCGGCGAATTGCTGTTCCAAGTATCAGTGAGGAGAATTCAGTAACTAAAATTTATCCACCTAGGAGAAGAGTTTCAGCGATAAGAGACTTTCCTCCAATTTGTGGGCCAAATGCTCCATGTATTGGTAAGGAAGAGTTATGCAAAGTGATTGTTTCTTTGAAGAGTTTGGATGAAGAGAATTTTGTTACTGAAGAAAGGTCGTTGAGAGGGACTGTGGAGACTGATGTGAAACAAATGGAGGAGTATGGTGATGTTTCTAGAATCATCTGTGATCAAGATCTATCCAATCTTACAGAACATGCAACCATGGGAGTGAAGAAACATGATGAGTTTGGAACTTCATCTAAGAGCATTGTGAAGGTTGCTGAGGAAGATGCTGGAAAAAATATCATTACATCTCCACGAGGGACTGAACAATATAGGTTTGACCATAAGGTTGGTTCAAAATCAAGCAACAAGGATGTTGGAGTTTTGGAGGAAAATTCGGTGAGGGATATTGTGTTTCATGCAGAGGATAAACAATTTGATAGGAATTGTTCAGATTTTTTAGGAAGTGGTAATCAATTCACAGAGGAAGATCCTGATTATTCACTAGTAGCATCGAATTTGGTTATTGTGCATGGTCTCATGGCATCCCAAAATTGTCCTTGGAGACAGGGGAAAGGCGCCTTCAAATGTAATCGCGCTGTTGTTACTAGTGAAAGCGTTGTTACTGGTGAAAGCAAAAGTAAGAAGCATGATATGCTGCTAGTCTGTGAATCTGCTTTCACAAGAAAGAATGAAGCAGAGAGCTCTAGAGGGCCACTCAATAAGAAGAATTTATCATCAGTTGGAGAGGCAGATCAAGCTATGGTTCCGTTAGTGGTTTGGGATGAGGAAGATTCTCTTGTAAATGATGGGGAAAATAAAAAATTTCAAGTGGATCATAGATCTCTTACTTTTGATGTGAACCTCCTTCCTTCAATGCGTAAGGGCGCTTACAATGATGTTACTGGCGCTCTACACAAAGTGAGGGAAACATTGCACCTTTTCCAAGGTGTCTGTAGGAAGTTGTTGCAAGAAGAAGAAGCAAAGGTGAATGGGCAAAACAGTGGTAAGAGAATTGATTATCTAGCAGCAAGAATTCTCAAAAACAAAGGGAAATATATCAATGATATCAATAAAATCATTGGGTCTGTTCCTGGAGTTGAAGTTGGTGATGAGTTTCATTACAGGATAAAGCTCAATATTATTGGTCTTCACCACCCAACTGAGGGTGGTATTGATTATGTCAAGCATAAAGGAAAGTTTCTTGCTGCGAGTATTGTGGCATCTGGGGGTTACGATGATGACTTGGATAACTCAGATGTACTGACTTACACAGGTCAAGAAGGGAATGAGATCAATGGAGGGAAAGAACCAGAAGATCAGAAGCTTGAACGAAGAAATCAAATTAGTGAAGGAAGTTCGGTGAAAAGGAAGCTGGACTTTACAACTGAGGCTTTGGAGTTAGAAACTGAAGTGTTTGATAGGGATTTAGGGTTCAGGGAAGGTTTAGAATATAATACAAGAAATGCTGAGGGAGATTTAAATGTAGATAGAAAGAACATGGGCGATATTAACAAGTTTAGGTATGTTGGTCCAAGTACTTATAATTCATGTCGAACAGAGAGAACAAATCAGGGGGTGCGTGCTCTGTCTGTTTCAATTAGTGGGCAGCCGGGAGAAAATGCTGGGAAGGAACCAGACTTGGGAAAGAATCACAGGAATATCACCCCTTTGGATGTGTTGAAGATGCTGGCAGCGAAATCTGATTGTGACAGTAGTCTTGAGAATAGAAGTATCTTAGATGTAGCAAAGAGCCGTGGCATGACTTTCCCATAGATAGTTGTTAAAAAGGTAGTTTGTTCAGTAAAAGATAAAAACCAATTTATTGTCTGTTTACTGCACAGTTATGTAGAAATGTTCATTGTAGGAAACAGAAAATTGGTTTTGGATGGACATTTGCGCTTTTGGGAAACTGCATTTAGGAAGCAAAAGAAACAGAGAAAATTAGAGACTTTGACGGTGAATTTGTTTTTTTAAACGCTGCAAGCTTTGATGGCTGGTGACCCATTACAGATTGGAGAAGGATTTGGAACATTTTGAACTTTTAAATTTGCACTTGGAGATACTTCTTGTGGTTTACTAATTTCGTATGTCTGGGATTTGGGAAGCTTCATATGACTTGTAAAGTTAGTAGTTTGGGGACATGAAGAAAAATATGCACAGGAATTTTAGGTCTAAAACTTGATATTTAACTACTGTTGTTTCTTATATGAGCTCCGTGTATGTTTAATTTGGTTTCTTTAAAGCAGCGTTGTTGGTTGGAGTTATTTTGTGTAAAGTCAAGCCTCAGAGCTTCAATTGAAGAAGAAACAGGTAAGTGGTACTTACATTATTCTTTGCCCTTGAATCAAGGAAATTTATAGAATAACTATTTAAACGTCCCATCATATCTATCATATTCTAGGCAGTAGATGTTAAATTGAGATTGAGATAGGAATACTCTAGAAGTCAAGATTTCCCATTCTTTGCTGCAATGTAGATCTTGATGCTTTGAAGCACCTTAGAAAGATGAAGCGGGAATACTCATAAACTTGCATTAGGATTGCCTAGCATTTTCTTCAACTCACTACAGAGACAATTTAGAACTAACTGTGCTGGTATTCTCCATAAGGCATAAATTCTCACCAAATGTCAACTCCATATGCATCCCAAAAAGCTATAAATATTTTCTTCACATGGAAAAAGTGAGCAAAAATATAGCAAGCAAACAAAAGGATTGACGCAAAAGTTACTTTGCAAGAGTTTTGCATACATAATTCTGAAAATTACCACCTCGACTGCATTTTTGAGCTATATATTACAATCTGTTGTCAACCTATACAAAAAAACCTACCCATTATCTCTGAGCATTTCATATTAAAAAAGGTCAAGGGGAAAATAGTGCAACCAGCAAACCTCTTTCACTGATGTTTTAGTATTTGCCATTTGGCATGCAAAGTATGTGGATCCCAGTCAGAGGATCTGGTTGAAGGTTCATACCTGGCAATCAAGTAACCTTTTGGCAAACGCTATTATGGTCGGGCAGGATTTGGATAAACTGATCTACTACTAGTACTAGCCTGTTGGCCAAAACTTGGAGCTGGGTGAAGGAGCTCTGCCTGCGGGAATGAGCTGTTGGATGGCACGTCCAGCAGCAAATCCTGGTCAGAGCTTTCAACTACAAAATTGAGAGATTCCAGCATGAGGGAGCTACTGTCAGTTTCTCTCTCTCTCTCTATGTTGTAATTGACCTGTGTCAATACCTGCTTCATATTGTACATATATGTTAAGCCATGAAAAACGATCAACAATGTTTCGCAAAGATACTTGGAGTATGTCTTATAAACAGCAATGAGGATGCTTTTTCTATAGAAAACTCCGGGATCAGTTAATAAAAAGAGAACTACCACCTCCGGGTTCAGTACTTCAGTTAATTGACAATAAAAGTATCTGACCTGATAAAATTATCATTTTGCCCTTAGATTAACATGAATAACATTTACTCTCAAAATATAGGTGTTAGAACATCTCCAAAGGATATAAATCTTTATATAACTCAAGCTTTTTATTATAAGGAGTTTATTCATAAAAACGAGAGTCTAACAAACTATTTATTTTTTAAATATAAATTAAAGAGTAAGTTTGACTCTCTACATCTAGAGAGTTAAATTTTACTCTTTATCATAATTTTAAATAATAAATTATAAGTTTTTATACGTTTTATTTATTATTTATCTCTTTTATTAAGTTTCTTTTTTGAAAAAACATATTCTCTACCCTAAAATTTAAAGAGTTTATTGGATTTGAATAAAAAATTTGTTCTTAAAATTTAAAAATTAATGAAGATGTTCTTTATTGATACGAAATGTACTCTTTAAAATAAAGAGCATCATCTCTTTATATGACCTAAACTCTTTATTATAAAGAGTTTATTCATAGAAACAAGAGTCCATCAGATTCTTTATTTTTTAAATATAAATTAAAGTGTGAGTTTGACTCTTCACATTTAAAGAGTTAAATTTCACTCTTTATTCAAGTTTTAAATAATAAATTGTAAGTTTTTATGTATTTTATTTATGATTTATCTTTCCTATTAAGTTTCTTTTTAAAAAAAACATATTCTTTTTCCTAAATTTTAAAGAGTCTATTAGATTTGAATAAAAATTTTGTTCTTTATATTTAAAAATCAATAAAGATGTTTTTTATAGTATTTAAAATAAAGAGTACCATTAAAGATGCTCTAATTAATTATTCAAATAATTAGTCATATTACTCATCCCTTAGTTTAATAATAAACATATGAATATTTTCAATAATTATTAAAATAATTAAATATTAATATAGCTCCAACGAACATGAATATTATGATGCCAACCATACGCCTCATTCGATTCATATTGTAGATAAAAATTAAAATAGAGGAAGTTGGTGTTGGGTAACTTGGGTTGTCCACCTTATACGGGCCTCGACATTTATTGGCTTTTAAGGCCAAATTTTTTAATAACAAATTTCTCTCCATATTAAATTATTAAATTTAATTTTTAATTTCCCACACTCAATTTCATATGTAATTCACTAAAACGATCCAACATAAATTTTGCACCACAAATTCCTGGTTAAGATAACAAAGTTGTTAATTGATATCAAATTATGACCAATTTCAAGATCTTGGTTTAAAGTGTTCATCATGCTACTCCCTCTTTTAGTCAAAGAAACCATAAGAATAATGGTCACTTGGCCCTTTTTTGGGTTGTCCCATAGGCAATGAGTTTTGGAAGGTTTGGGCAACAGATGAATCGCCTTTGATAGAGAGGCATAAGATCAAGAAGGCGGTGTATGCAGTCATGAATAATGAAGATGAAACATTGGAGATGAGAAAGAAAGCAAATCGTCTCAAGGAATTGGCAAAGAAAGATGTTGAAGAAGGGGGCATCTTTCAATGACATGAAGGGTCTAATTCAGAGAAATCGAAAGGTGCAAAAAGTCTTAAGAATTGGTAAGTATAGGGGATAGCACATTTTTAAATGGTCACCATTTGTAAAAGCTATTTACTATCAGCTAGCTATAAATAGCATATATCATATCATTTGCAAGTAGCATGCATTTAACAATTGAAAATAACAACTTCATTTGGAGACAAACCATTATGCAAGAAAAGTAGTGCATATAGAAAACAAGGAACTCTGTTGTAAAAAGAAATGAAGGAAAAAACCTGAAAAGAGAAAATTGAAAGGAAATTGATTTACACTTACACAATAATCAGGGTTGAAAGTAGCTTGAGTTATTAATAGTTACCCTGCCAACTGCACATTCCCATTCAGTTAGGGGCGAGATTGATCTTACTCTTTCTGGAATTATGAACTTGGGGATCTCTGGAATCTTCAAGCCTCTAAGCATTGGCATTGAATGTTCATGTACTTGCCACTCCTCCAATTCATAGAAATCAAATTGTAGAATTTCAAGGCGAGGGAAACCATTTGCCGAGCATATTATTCTTTCTTCACTACAGGAAACGAAGTTTAACCCAAGAACCATTAGGTTTGGCAAATTCTCCAACAGGGCCATTGGATCATCTATGAGAAATATACCTGATAATGTTAAACATTCAAGATTTCGTAAGAGTTCCTCCATGTTTCTTGGTAGTTTCTTTATGTCCCCACCTAATCTCAAATCTACAAGACATGTGCAATGAGCAAGTGCCTGCCATGAAGCAAAAGATTTATCAGACGACACCGGCAGCGTAACTGATAACATTTGAAGACTTTTCAGTTTGCCTATTGGTTCCAAATCAAACTCCTTTGAAAATGCCAAACCCGATTGGATCCGCAGCTCCCGAAGATAACCCAACTTTTCAGGATTAATTTTACTCCAACATCTAATATTTATGCACTTGAGAGTTTGAAGGTTTGTCAAATTGTCTACCGGCAATGATCCTTGAAAGTTTCCAATTAGATGTTTCAATTCCTGCAACTTACAAATCTCAATTGGTATTTCATAAAAAATCCACCCAATACCATATATGTCAAGAGTTTGCAGCCTCTTCAAGTTGACAAAGGATGATGGAAAATTATATATATTTGCATTCCTTAGCCCCAAATATTTCAAGTGGATCAACTTTCCAATCTCTTCAGGTAAGCTTCTTGTATTTTGCGGTGTTAAATCCTTTCTCATAGAACCCTCAACATCGAGCACTCTGAGTAATCTGAATTTGGTGAAAAGGGGTGGTAAGTGCTGTGTTAATTTAAGTGATTTTTCCCACTTTTGGTTAAGAAGAGAAAGGAACGCGACAACTGATTATAGTATTGAAACCACAAATGTCTTCCAACCTTTGAATAAACAGCTTGTCTTCGACAAGATAATAAGACCGAATAGCATGCGAAGTTTGATTCCTTTGCTTTCTGAATAGCAAGATCACGCAAAAGATCATGAACCCGACATGTGGCAATCCGCCCCCAGCATCTTTTCTCTATTTGCACCAAACTTCTATTAATCAACTGTTTCAAATGACTCTCAGCCACTTCTTCCATCATTTGTCCTTCATTTTCTTGTATAAAACCCTCTGCAATTAGTAATCGAATTAGTTTCTCCACATGGATTTCATAATCCTCTGGAAAAAGACTTAGGTAGAGAAAACATAACTTCAATTCAAAGGATTAAAACTTAAAGCCAACAGAAAGGAGATCTGAATTGAATCGTCCCTTAGATGTTGCCAAATGTGATGATGTACCCTCCGCCATTCATGTGGCTTTTTTCGTTGACAACAGGCCTCCCAATACAACTATGGCAAGTGGTAAGCCTCTACATTTCTCCACCATTTCTCTTCCCAAATTCTTTAATCCTTATCCGCATTTGAGTTTTGAAAGGCTTTATCACAAAAAAGCTTCCAACTTTCACTTGGGTTTAGAAATCGAAGCTCATGGACATGAACTTTTTCGTCCGAACGTTCAGCAACTTCTCTGATACGGGTGGTAATAATGACTCTACTACCATTATTGTTATCAGGAAACGCTCTTTTCAAGCTCTCCCAAGCTTCTTTATGCCATACATCATCGATCACTAGCAAGTATGAGCGTCCAATCAAAGAGTTTCGAAGATTCCGCTCCAAATCTTCTTGACTCATCTTCTCCAACTCCTTATATTGACGTTCTTTGATCTGCCGTTGCTCTTGCTCCAACTCTTCTGCACTCATCTTCTTACTTCTTGAAGATTCTTCATCCTCCCTTTCAAGCATGATGTGGGAAAATTTTATAATCCTTCGAAGAATATCTTGAGTTTTGTAATCTTGAGAGACTGAAACCCAAGCTCGATGTTGAAACTTATTCTTGGCATCATAGTTGTGGTAAAGCTTTTTAGCAAGAGTTGTTTTACCTAAACCACCCATACCAAAAATAGAAATCACACCTCTCCGCGGCCCCCCGCCAAGAAGTTTAGCCAACAATTTCTCAGCATCATCCTCAAAGCCAACAACATGGTCATCTACTACAAAGGAGGTGGCTCTTCTCAGTTCCTTCAATCTGTAAAAAGCATCTACCTTTCCTTCACCCTTGTTACCAAAATCCTCAAGGCGGTACTGTTCACGTTTCCGAGAAATATCACCAAGTTTCTGTCTGATCTCTTGGATCTTCTTGCCTATGTTGTGCTGATTGACAGCCTTTTCTCCTTTGTTGAAGATACTGAACTTCTTGATGTAAACAGAAATTCTCCTCCTTTTGAGCATAAATGTATCCAAGACATCCTCAATATCATAAGCGACGTCTCTAATATCTGATACCCACTTCCTTATAATAACATCATAAACTTGTTTTCTTTCTGCATCCTTGAGGAAACATTGCATCCATTCCAATTCATTCTTTAGCGACTCCACTTCTTTCCTCACTCCTTGGAAGTGCACAGGTTCTTGGATAAGATAATCCCCAATCTTGTTCACCACAAATGAGATCACCGCATCAACCATAGCTCTCAAGCTACTATTTTTTCTCTCTTTTTGGGTACTGCCCGATTCTTCACTGGCTTGATTGATCAAATTTGGGAACTGGGGCTACCATTCTTTGCTGAAAAAGTAAAACCCATCCAAGAGTTTCAAAACAGAAACACTAAAAAAATTGATTACTTTATCATATAAAGACAAATATCCTTTGTCTAATTCTTTTTTTTTAAGTTTTATTTCTTTAATTTTTAATTTAAATATAAAAAATTGAAATAAAAACATAAAAGAATTTGAAACTTTGTTTCAAATGGACTTTAATATCCTTTATCTTAGTAAGCCGAAATGTTTTCGTAATATGGTAAAACGACCTGTTACTAATAAACGAAATCTTCCGGATCATGGAAGGTTTATTAGGCGAACAAGGAAAGGTAGACTTAACGCTAAGGAACGCGGAGCGCGTAAGTTTTGTGCTACCTGCCCATCTGGCAAAAACGTAAAAGATTGTAATTGTTACTGGATTTGTGGTGACAAAAATCATTTTACGGATAAATGCCCTCATAAGGGAAAGAAGAAGGCTGCGGTAAGATTTTTGGAAGTCAACGCGGAAAGCCAAACTTCTGAATTTGGGCCAGTTTGGGGATATGAAATTGATTCTGATGATGAGGTTTATGAATTAATTTCGGACTACTCTGATGATTCAGTTTCTTCAGAGGATGACTCAAAAGATATGACTTTTGAGGAACAGTCTTCAAATCTTCAACGCGTAGGTATATTCATGCAACGGACTAGTAGTCTTAATGAATATCCTAGGAATAACGGTATTGGTGATGAGGATGATCTTATCCCAATTAGAAATGAAGATGATCATCCTAACTCGGTAATTAGTTCATCATCTAATTACGAGGATCACTCGGGTAACCCTGACAATTGGGTAATTCCGAGGTTAACACCTAGAGAGGGTTTTGAGAAACGTTCTAAGTGGTTATTTAAAGCTGAAGGCTTGGAAGATGTACACGAAAAACCTGTTTGTGTAGCTTTGTCCCAATCTCAAGAGGGAGAATTAGTGCTCTCGAATGACGAGTGGCTACAAAAGGTTCGAAATCTTGCCAAACGGGCAAATGGCAAGTATAATTATGTACAACTTGGTGCTGTACAGATCGTGTGCAGGGACTATTCCGTGGAGGAATGAATGTACCTGTTCAGGTTGCTTTACTGGATAGACGATGGCTTACGTTTGGTAAAGCTCTAGTTGACGGTTTTCACGCTAACTTAGCTTTAGGAGATGCCTATGGGATTGTTAAACTAGGATATATGGTTAGTCTCCAAGATCCAAACCTCAAACGGATTATGGTTCTTCTAATTCATACTTCCGGCCTAGAAGACTTGATGGTTTCTAGTGATGGAATAGCAATTCAGTATAGGTTAATTTATCACTTGATAAATTCTGTTAATCCTATACGTATGAACTCTAGTGCCGACACTAAGGTTCATGCCCAGGATAGGATTCTATAATTCCGATTCGACCTATGGTAGTCAATGCTAAGACTCTTACGTGGCCGAAATGATGGGTTTTGGAATATTCAACGCAGCCCAGCGTGGTGGAATTAAACCCAAATCAGGGAATTCAAATCCAGGAACTTGATAATGAGGTTGAGGTTACTCTTCCTACGCCTAGAAACTCAGAGTCTCTAGAGCGGAATAAAGAGGTTCAGCCCATTATATCAAGAAAAAATATACTGGAAACAGATGACACTGCTATTGATGCTGGAAGTAGCAATAGCAAGAAAATTGTTGGGTATAAATCTGTACAAATCCCAGTATATGAAGAAGAAACTCCAAGCACAAAAATGATTATGAGTCATGAAATGCATTGTCATGCTATAGTTCAGGGGACTATTGACACATGCATACGTGCTAAATTGTGTTTTCCAGAATATGAGGAATATACTCTGGATATTCTTGTAGACACAGCAGCAACCAAATGTATTGCAAGGAAGCAATGTTTTTCACACGAGCTTTGGAAACCATTGGAAAAACCTATCCTAAATACGGTTGCAGATGGAGGTCAAAGTATGATCACGGATGTCGTAGAAAACGTGGTTGTACTGTTAAACGAGAAGAAATTTACTCTGAGGGAAGTCCTCCTAGTGGATTACTTGGAGGTAGATTTTATTCTCGAAAATAGCTTTCTGCGAGGTCAAGCAGAAGTTAGGCCATTTACTCAGGATAATGACCACATTATCCTAGGAGGATATAAAATCCCTATTCTTGCTAAGCCTGAAGTTTCGAAAGTTAGAAACGGTTTTAGACCGGTGAAACTAAGGCAAGAAGTAGATCAAATCGTTTTCCAAGTTTTGGAAACAAAGAATTGGTGGTTGAAATCTTCTGATGCAGAAGAAGTGGATGAGGCTTGTAATGTTTTCTTTCAAAGGTTGTATCGTAGTTATCATACAAACCGGATCGCATGAGGTATATCGTAGGAGGATGATCCTTCTGGTGCATGCCTTGAGAGCACGGATAAATTCATACATAAGGAAAAAATCTTGAAGGTTGAAAACGAGAGCCAAAAGAACTCTTTAAGGATTGAGGAACTTGTAAAATCCTTTAAAGAAGAACTTTCTCCATGCTTTGATGATCAACCATTAAAGTTATGGGAAAAGAACAGTATATATGCTTCACTTGAATTGAAAAGGAAGGATGATAAAATAGTGACCAAATCCTATCCTTATACTCCTGATGCAGAGGAGGAATTCAGTAAGCAAATACCGGAATTGCTGAAAAAGCAATTGATACGCGCCAGTAAAAGTCCACACTCTTTGCCAGCATTTATGGTCATGAATAGAGCTGAGTAATTAAGAGGTAAAGCACGGATGGTTATCGATTATAGGCAGTTAAATGAGAAAACCATTGACGATGCTTATAAGATACCTAACAAATCAGCTTGTTTGAATAAAGCTAGATTTGGAAAAATCTTCTCCAAATTTGATCTAAAGTCAGGATTTTGGCAGATCAGAATGGCAGAGTCAAGCATTCCTTTGACGGCTTTCACCTGTCCGAAAGGATTGTTGAATGGATGGTTCTGCCTTTTGGGCTTAAGCAGGCACCATCAATATTCCAGAGGAAAATGGATAAAGTTTTGGAGATTTATCTAACTTTTGTGTAGTCTATATTGATGATGTTCTAGTTTTTAGTAAAACCATGGAAGAACATGTAAATCATCTTAGACTAGTGATAAAAAAGTTCCTTGATAATGGAATGATTCTATCTGAATGAAAGGTAGAATGGTTTAAGAACAAGGTGAAGTTCTTAGGCGTTGAGATAGGTGAAAGAGGTATTCAACTCCAAGAACATATCTCAAAGAAGTTGCTGGAATTTCCAGATGTGTTGGAAGATAAGCACATGCTACAACAATTTCTTGGATTAGCCAATTACATGCGCGAGTATGTTCCTAATCTCGCTAATGTAATTAATGGCTTGATGCTTAAGGTTAGTGATAAAGTGCCCTGGGTTTGGACACTTGAAGACACTAATTGTGTTAAGCGGACCAAAGCCTTGACAAAGCAATTAAAACCTTTAAAACTCCCGAAAGATGAGGATAAACTTATTATAGAAAGTGATGCATCTCACTTGTATTGGGGAGGTGTGCTTAAGGCTAAGGGTACTGATAATATTGAACGAATTGTTCGATATGCTTCAGGAAAATTCTCTCCTGCTGAGATAAACTATCATGTCCATGAGAAGGAAGTTTTAGCAGCGAAAGAATGTACTGACCAATTTCGATTATTCGTAATCAGTCAGGAATTTACTTTAAGGACAGACTCTAAATATTTAAGAACCTTTATAAAACTGTCTTTAAAGGATGACAAAGCTAGATTAATCAGATGGCAGATTTGGTTTGCAAATTATAAAATCAAATTTGAATACATTTCTGGTAAATCTAACTTTGTTGCTGACTTTTTTTCCAGACATTTTGTAGAAGAATTGCAGGATAATGGCGGACAAGAAGGAAACTGGAAATCACTTCTCATGCTCCAAGTGTAAGCAACGAGGACACTTGAGAAGGAACTGCCCTTTGAAGGTTACTTCGACGTCAAAGGTTACTGCTAAAAAGGAGAAAACTGCGGATAAGCAGGTGGCTTCTTCTTCTAAGCAGGTTACTGTGGTGCAGCAGGCTAAAGAAGGAAAGAGTCAAGATTATGACTCTGATACTTCGGATAGAAGGAACCCGAAATTTCAACGATTGAAAGGTTCAACTTCTTCAAAGGGAGATACTTCTGAAAAGAGGGTTACTCTTAAGAAGGAAACGACTAAGAAAAAAGCAATAGTTTGCTGGTCTTGTAAACAAGAAGGATATGAACAAGCTAATTGTTCACTATTAAAGCAAAAACATTCTGAGGAATCGTCAGGCGCTACAAGCGTGGTGACTCCACACACTCCACAAAAGAAGCGATCAATGGATGCAAATATTTGTGAGAGGTTTAGTTTTCCAGAAGGCTTAAGATTAACTTCAGCTAGTCAAACACTTTGGAAGAACCTGGAAACCCAAATTAGGATTGCAATGGCGACAGGATAAGGGGAAGTACAGTTGCAGAGGTGTTTAGAGAAGCTAGCAAGAAGGTTAGCATGGCTGGAAGCTGATAAACTGTTCTATGAGGATGAAGAGTTCAAAGGAACTGATGTACTCTATGCAGCAGGAATTCAAAAACTTGAGGTAATGAGGAAATGTCATTTGTTTGACATGTTAAAGCTCAAACTTAAGAATTTGAATGACTTAATAATGAAATTGGGAAAAACTGACTTGACGGATGTAGTTCAAGGATTAGCGGTTTATCCTAATGGAGCTATGGAATTGTTTGTTCCATGGAAAACCTTTAGAAAAGGTTTCTGTAGAGATCTTTTGACTAAAGGATGGATCGATACAATGCAAATTGACATACATGAAGCAATGGTGGATCCGAATATGCCAGACGTGGTTAAACAGATGCTCTGTGTATTAAATCGGAAAGTCGACACATTCACTTGCATGA